ATATTCCATAGGTTCAAGATGCCAGAGGTGAGACCAAGCACTGAACATGGTACACACACACCAAGGCGAACTTCTAGAGATGAAACTACGATATGTGAAGTGGAAAATACACTGGATGGGGTTAACAGCGGATGAAATACTGCAGGAAAGATTAGTGACTTTAAAGGCAGGGCAATGGAAATTATCCAAAATGAAACACTGAAAGAAAGACTGGCCAGGAATGAAACAGAGTAGCCGTGAACTGTGGACAAATTCAAGTGCCTGATACATGTGTGATGCAGTTACCAAGGCAGAAGAGAGGGGAGGGGCAGAAAGACTATCTGAAGAAATAATGGGTGAAAAATTTCCAAATCTGATAAACACTATAAACTCACACGCACACATAAAACAAAACAAAGAAATGTAATGAAACCAGAGGACGAAAACCATGAAGAAAACCGCATCATAGCACATCATAATCAAACTGCTTACGTCAGAGATAAAGAGAAAATCTTAAGAGCAGGCAGTGATAAAGAGACACCGTGCACACAAAGGAATAAAGGTAAGAATGACAGCAGACTTCTGATAAAAAACAACATAAGCCGGAAAACATTTTATTAGGGGTAAAAAAAACCCCATTAATTTAGAAATCGAAACTTAGCAAAAATATCATTCAAAAACAGAGATAAAAAAATATTTTTTTAGGGCTTCCCTGGTGGCGCAGTGGTTGAGAGTCCGCCTGCCGATGCAGGGGACGCGGATTCGTGCCCCGGTCCGGGAGGATCCCACATGCCGCGGAGCGGCTGGGCCCGTGAGCCACGGCCGCTGAGCCTGCGCTCCGCAACGGGAGAGGCCGCAACAGTGAGAGACCCGCGTACCGCAAAAAAAAAAAAAAAAAATTTTGTTTTAGATATACAAAAGCTGAAAGAATTCATCACCCACAGACCTGTGCTTCAAGATCCACTGAGGGAAGTCCTTCAGGCAAAAGGGAAATGACAGCAAGTGGAGATGTGCATTCACACCGAGGGCTGAGGTGGGCTCAATATGAGATGTTGGGTCTTATTGTTTAAACCTATTGAAAAGGGAATTTGCTGGAAAATGTGGTAAAAACATCCAGTGGAATATACAGGAAGGAGATTCTGACACTTGCTACAACATGGCTGAATCTGAAGGACATGATATTCCGTGAAATAAGCCTGTCACCAAGGACAACCGTGTGATTGCATTCACATGAGGTCCCCAGAGCAGTCAAATTTACAGACCGAGAAATGGAATGGTGGTTGTAGGAGGCAGGGGGTGAGGGGAATGGGAGCGGAGGGTGCAGAGTTACATTTCCGCAAGATGGAAGGAGTTCTGTGGGTGGAGGGTGGTGATGGTCGTACAATGTGAATACAGGTGACCCTTGAACAGTGCAGGTTTCAACTGCGTGGGTCTAGTTATACATGGATTTTTTCCCATAAATACACAGTGGACTCTCCATATTCATGGGTTTCGCATCCACAGATTCAGCCAGCCACGGATTGAAATTTCTCTCTGTGGTTGGTTGAATCTGTGGTTGTGGAACTATGGAAACAGAGGGCCAACTGCACCATGCCATCCTATCTAAGGGACTTGAACATCCATGGATTTTGGTATCTGCAGGGCCTGCTGGGACCAGTTCCCCTGCGGATACCAAGGGACTGAATGCCTCTGAACGGTACTCTTCAAGTCAGATGGTTGATGGTCAGTTTTATGTGTATTTGACCACAACTTTACAAACAGAGGGAATTGCCTGCTTAAAGCAAAAATAGTAACAGCATATGTGGGACGTATGAGAAATATGGGGGTAGAAGATCCACAGCACCACGGGTGGGGAGAATGGCGGTGACCTGCTAGGAATGGAAGGTGGCCAGTGGTGAGGCGAAGACCCTGTTATAAACCCTAACGCCACCACTCAGATAACCTCACAAGCAGTTATTCCTAATAAGCACACGGCAGATAAAATAGAATCATAAAAAAAAAATGCTTCTGTCCACCTTAAAGGCCTGGAAGCAGTGACACCCCAGTCGTAGTGACCACAGGTGCACACAGATACCAGAAATTATCAAAGCGTGTGCTTTAAATTTCAGTTATACTTCAACAAAGTTGTTTAAAATAAAAGCGGGATGAGCTGCCTGCACAGGCGAGACCTCCTGGGCTGGGGGGATGTCACATCTCTCCACGTACCCCCTTCTCTCCTTCTGCAGCAGTGACGACATTGTGCGCTCTGACATTAGGTGTGGCCACGTCACTTGCTGTGTCCCGCAAAATGTCAATGAAAGTGGTTCTACCAGTTCCTGAAGGGGTCCTCACGAGCTAATGCACGTGGTGCCCAAGAGACAGCAGGAGCATGTGTGTAGCTGAGACTTGAGGCACCCTGGGTCTACCAATGCCAAGTGGAGCTGAGCCTCTGCCAGCATGAGTGCAGCAGGCAGTCTGAGTGAGAGATGAACTGCATGTATGTTGGGACGCCTTTGTTACTACAGCTAACTTAGCCCATCCTGACTGAATACCCCGACACCACACAGGTCCCATTACAGTGGAAGTTCTGTTTGGCACTAGAAGGCAAACCTGTCTGGTGGCCTTCGAGGTCTCTTCCACCTTGAAGACATGAGTTACAGGTCACAAGTGTCAGCAGCCTGGGTGTCTAACTAAGGTTCCCTTTCAAGCCTCCACCGACCTGTGCAGAGCTCGGTGCCTCTCACAGCATCACCCAGGTATTGCTGAGTCCCCAAATACTCAGACACAAGTTGGCTCCTGTCTCCCACCTCCTTCAGTTAATCAAGGAAAATCACAGTGACACAGAGACTGTGACCAGTGCCCCCGCCAAGACTGCCTCTGCCAAGGATGCCACGTCCCTTTGTTCCCAGTGTCACCGCCCCCCAGAATGTCAGAGTCATGCTGGATTCTCATCCCGAGCCCTTTCTAAGGCTCCCCTCCAGGGGACCAGGCCGCTGTTCTAGGTCTGACCCTTGTCTAGGAGCCCATCTGTCCCCATTGGTTCCTCCAGAGATACGACGGCCCCTACCCATGTGGGCCTCTGCCAGTCCTGGGGTATAGGACTCCTTGCGAGGCTGCAGCCCCTGAAGCTCCTAATTGCTCGTTAAATGTGACACACTGCCAGGGAGCAAAAAGGAAAGTACCAGGTGCTTCCAGGCCCCAATGACCTGAGGAGGGGTGGGCAAGACCTACTTTGGAAGAAATCCTTCTCCCTTCATTTCCATTAGACAAATTTCCGATGTGCCTAGGATTTTGGAAGGCTCCCCTGAAGAGAAAGGAGAAAATAACTGGAGAGACCACAAATTAATTTTGCAGTAAGCTTCCCTTCCACACAATCAACGGTACCTCAGAATCAAAGCAGTCTCCAAGAATATTTAGGAGAAATGTATTTTCTCTCAAAGATCCAACGCTGCTGAGATGCAAATCATCTTTCACATTATTATTCAAGGAAGTTGGGCTCCTTCCAACCTCAGCTCTTGAGTACTTCCCTTTCAAGTTGTGATATTCGGCTTTGTATTTGCAAACTAGAACAAAAATGGCTTCTCTGGGTGGTTTTTCCAAAACAAATAGTCTTTTCCATAGGCCTATCTAAGCATTCGTTTTCCACAGTAAAGAAAACTGCTCTCAGCTTTGAAACAGTCGCTTAATTTCCATCACTCTGTCCAGGTTTCACAAATCACGAGGTCCAGTTTCGATAACTCAGTGATTCCTTTCTTATTATCCACAGAAGTTCCTGACAGGAAGAAGCCTTAGATGTAAAGAATGGGATCACTGTCTTTCTTCTGAAATAGCTCTAATCAGAGTCAGTCTGCTATACACAGGAGTGCAAATCAAACCTAACTTGCACAAAGCCAGATGAGAAAACAAAGTGTCCCAGCCACTGAACAAGGGATATATACAAAAGAATTCCAGGAAATTACAGTTCTCACCACATTTCAGGATGGGGCCCCCTCTGTGATTTAGAAGCAAGGATATCTCTTTTCTGCTAGCATCAGACAGAAGAGTAAAATGCCGAGCCAGATAGCCTTTGGAGGGGAGGGGAAGATCTCGGGAAGGTCTGATGCCAATTTGGAGGACAAAGCCACATGGGCTTGAATAAAATGCATTTCCTGGCATTTTCCCCACCATCCAAGTCGCTTGGGAGCTTAGCCAGGGCATATTTTTAGTATTCTACTGTGTCTTTTGAACAAGGTTGGGTCTTATGAGATACCACGTGGCCCTGGTCATGCTCCGATGGAGCAAAATCCCAACCAAAAATCTCTTCTCAGTAAATGTTTATCGCTGCATTTCCAACAGAAGGGGATTCTGAATTCAGTTGTGCTCCTTAAATCAAAATATTCAACCAACGACTCGTACCCGTAAAAATGCGTCCGCGGCTGAGAGCCCAGAGATGCTTCCTGCCCAAAGGCCACATTCCCTAAAGTGAGGTGCAGGGTGGCCAACGTCAGTCTTCTGGGGACTTTTTGGAACCGGTACGTCCTAAGCTTCCGTCAGTTTCCCCCAGACGCCAGCTCGGCCCCAGCGGCGACGGCCCCGGCAGGTCAGCCTGCCTCCCCGCCCGCAGGGCTGGCCTCCAGCTGGACACCTGAGGCCACGCACGGCCTCCTAGTTACACATTCACCCCGTCCCCGGGTTGATCATTCCGGCGCGGAGGAAGTCCTTCCCCGGCCGAGCGCCCCAGATGACGACGACCGAGCCTTTGACAAAGCGTTGCCTTCCTCGCCAGTGCAGGCACATTGCCTCCTCTGCGCGAGAAAGGACCCCGCTGTCCCAGGCCCTGTGCCCACCCCGTCACCCCCAGGCCTGTGGACCGCCCTCCCCTCGCCGCCCCCCCGCGCCCCGCCCTCCCCGCCCCCCCCGCGCCCCCCCCCCCCCCCCCCCCCCGCCCCGCCCTCCCCGCCCCCCCGCGCCCCACCCTCCCCGCGCGCCGACCCGGATCCTCGGCGCCCATCGGCCCTCCCCGCCCCGGCCTCCCCGCGCGCACGCGCGACCACAGCGGGGGCCGGGCCTCGCGCCCCTTCCCTCTTCCCCTGCCCGCTCCGCCGCGTCCTGACCGGTGGGGGGGCGGGGCCGTGCGCCTGCGCGGAGCGGACAGTCTGGCGGGGCCGCAGCCGCGGAGTGGCAGGCAGTTGCCGTGGGGACCGCGGGCCCCTCCCTCCTCCGGTCCTCTGCCGGTGGCGTTCCCCACCAAGGCGCGGCCGCCGATCCGGCTTCCCTGCCGCCGACCCGGCGGAGCTGCAGACGTTGCCCCGCGAGAGGCGGAGCCGCTCCCAAGATGTCGCAGACGGCCATGTCCGAGACCTACGGTACGGGGCGGGGGCGCGGGCCGGGGCGCGGGTTCCCGGGCTTGCGGGCCGGGGTGGGGTGCTGGGGGCCCGGCCTTGCGGGCCGGGGTGGGGTGGGCGCGGGCGGCGGGGCGCGGATCCGAGTGCCGGGGCGCCGGCCGGCCGAGTGTGGCCAGCCTACGTGATCTGCTTCTCCGAGGGTCCTCTTGCTGGTTCTCCGCGTTCACGCCGGTAGGGTTTCCCTTTCTTAGTCTGATATCAGTAGTCAGGTTTGGGCAGCCAGTTGGAGACTCGGCTTATCTGCGATATTGTCCCTAGCAAGGGACGTGAAGGACTTGAGGCGACGCCTGCAGTTGAGTGTGCTCCTCGGCTATTGCACTTGGAGCTTTCCTAGATTGGAAGTCTTCCTTTGCACTGAAATTACAAGGACTTACCGATAGGCAACTTCATCCATTTCTATTTCCAGAGACTTTTCAGGCTGCGTGATGGCTCTTTATAAATGTGTCTTTTTAAGACCGTAAGCACCTCCGAAGCACAGCCCAGTCTGCTTGATCTTTGCTTCCTCTGTAGCACCCACACCTGAAGGCACCCAAGAGAGATTTTTTTCTTTTTAATAAACGAAAGCCTTCCCAATTCATAAACTGTGTTTCTTTTTGTCCTGCGTGGTAAAAATAAACAACATAGTACACTTCTGCTTTGTATCAAGGTTGATGAGGTGTTCACCAGTCTGGAATCACTCTCAGATGTGTGCATTCTCAGATTAAGTCTGATTTGGACTTTACAGTCCCAGGGAGGGGCTCAAGTTCAAAACCATTACTTCTCGTCAAATCAGTCATGTCTCTCCTCCGTGTGTCCTGACATGCTGCCCCCTTTCCCATCAACAGATAGGTATGGACCGGCTTTATGGGCCTGCGTGGTTTCCAACACTACAAGGTACCCACCGGCCCTGCTCTGCTCTCAGGGAGTTTACGGCCCGGGGGGGATACAATGTTAATCCAGGTATGATACTAATGAATGTTAAAAACTTAAGGCAGGAGTTCTGAAGGAATGTGGTCTCTGAAGGTATGTTAGAAAGAAACCTGACCCAGACCCAGGTCAGAGAGGCGTTAACCAGTGCGCACATACCCAGGCCCTGAGGGATCCAGGGTCCCTGTAAGAGGAGTGTGGTTGAGGCCCCTTGGCCCCTGGGCATTTGCTTCACCTTCAGCCACTCCTGTGACTGGTACCTGCCCTGTTCTTGGTAACGCTGGGAGCAGGATGGCTGTTCCTAGAAGGCTTAGGAAGTCCGACAGGACGTCCCTGGCTTGTAAGGATCAGTGTCATGGGAGCTTCTGATGCTACAGCACCTGTCACATCCACGTGGTCTGCCTCTGTCTGTAGAGAACCACAGTCAGATTTCCTAAAGAAAATCCATTTCTCCAGCAAGTTTTGGTTATGCTTTTGCTTTTTCTTTATTTTCAAGTGCTCCTTTGCCCACACTTTGCTTTTTCCTCTGACCCGGAGAAAGGAGCACATGGGAGGGGTGGAAAGTCCAAGTAGGAAACCAAGTGGGGTTATGAGTTAGGAGGAATATGGGAAGATAGAGATTTTGTTATTCAGTTGTCTCATATGAAACAATAACCTTGGTAAAATCTGGCATCTCCACTTCAGACAGAGCTCATCAAGCATCACAGGTTAACTGATCAGATTCTGTTCATCAGGCTTTGACCTTTAGTGTTCTTATTTCATGGTACCTTCCAAATATGTTTTTTATTTTTATTTTTTATTTTTTTGTGGTACACGGGCCTCTCACTGTTGTGGCCTCTCCCATTGTGGAGCACAGGCACCGGACCCGCAGGCTCAGCGGCCATGGCTCACGGGCCCAGCCGCTCCGTGGCACGTGGGATCTTCCCAGACCGGGGCATGAACCCGTGTCTCCTGCATCGGCAGGCGGACTCTCAACCACTGCGCCACCAGGGAAGCCCTGTTTTTTACTTTTAACTAACTGAACTTAATCCTTCCCTCTAGTAGAAGAAACTCATAGAAATTAGTTTTAGGAAGAGCAAGTGTGGCACTTGAAAGTGCCAACCCAAAATAAAAGTCACCCAAAACCAAGTCCTAAGCTATCACCTTCACTTATCATTGGTAGATTGGCACAGCATTGGTTCCCAAAAGGAAAACAGTCAGGTTCCCTGCTTCTGGACGTTTGCCTGTTAGGTAGCTGGTAAAGGAATGTTTTGCCTAATCTTTAAATTCCTTTGTACTCTGTGCTCATTTTCTCCCTTCTGGAAAAGGAGTCTCTGTAGGTTGACAGATATATGATGAAACATAAAGAACCACTGCTTACCAGTGTACTCTGGTAGTGAGCTCTGTCTACTTGCCTTTTCGCTTATTAAGGCAGTATTTCACCTGCCAGGGACTGAATAGGGTTCAGTATTTTGCTGCTCTGAAAGCACCAACCACATGAATAACATATGTTATGTAATACTTTACTTAATATTGTAATACAACATTGAAATCTCGAACACATAGGTTTCTGATTGAAACCCTCCCTCTGAATATCCCTAAACCGAAACAGTGTTTCCCAAAGATTGTTAGATCCACAGCGTTCTTAATGCTCTGGCCACTTAGTATGGCTTGGGGCTTCCCAAGGAGCTCCAGACTGGCTGATCAGAAATTGCCTTTAATTTCTGATACCAAGATCTGTGAGACAAAACGAACGAATCGAATAGGTAGTATCAAGCAGTGATGTTCAGAAAGGAGCTGAGAAGCGTAAGTGGTGTAGAACAGCGGTCCTCGACCTTTTTGGCACCAGGGACCGGTTTTGTGGAAGACAGTTGTTCCGTGGACGAGGGGGCGGGGAGGGTTCAGGCGGTAATGCCAGTGATGGGGAGCAACGGGGAGCGCCGGGGAGGGATGGGGAGCGGCGGGGAGCGACGGGGAGCTGCGGATGAAGCTTTGTTTGCTCGCCGCCGCTCACTTCCTGCTGTGCCACCCAGTTCCCAACAGGCCACGGACGGTAATGGTCCGCAGCCCTGGGGTTGGGGACCCCTGGTGTAGAAGATGCTAGAAATTAAAAAAAAAAAAAATGTAAGGGCCGAGGCAGTTTGAGAGTGAGGAAAAGTCTAAGCCAAATCTCTATATACACTGGACTTTATGCATTCTACAGTGACAACAATTTATGAAGCCAGGACACAAATCGTTGGTCATATACTAGTTTTATTAGTGATACAGTATATACTCAATATTTTTATTTTGTGCTTTATTTTGAAAGTATTACAACATTTGACATATAACTTCGAGAATTATCAGGACATGTTCTTTTTAGAATGTTATCACTATAGGTTGCTATGGGTTGAACTGTGTCCCCTAAAAGGTATGTTCAAGTTCAGGTCCTAAGCCCAGGCAACCTGTGGATGTGACCTTATTTGGAAATAGGGTCTTTACTGATGTAATCAGGTTGAGTTGAGGTCATGTTGGATTAGGGTGAGCTCTCACTCAATGACTGGCATCCTTATAAGTTGAGAGGAATTTGATATAGACACATGGAGGGAAAATGTGATGTAAAGACAGGCTGAAGCCGAAGTGATGTGACTGCAAGCCCAGGACCACCAAGGATGGCCGGCAGCTAGGAAGAGGCAAGGAAGGGGTCCTTCCCTGGCATCCTCAGAGAGAGCCTGGCCCTGCCAGCACCTTGACTTTGGACTTCTAACCTAGAACTACGAGACTACCACATAAGCCATCCAGTTTGTGGCATTTTGTTATAGCAGCCATAGGAAACTAATACACAGGCATTGTAGCAGCCATAGGAAACTAATACATAGGCGTTGGTAGTCAAAATATGATTCAGGGAGAAATTCAGGCTTGATAAAGCAAAGTGGAGTGAGGAGAACATTCTAGGCAAAGGAAATAACATCTTCAGAGTCATCTGGTTCCAATGAAGTGTGAAAAAACTTGCTGTTAGGGAAATCACCTAAATTGCCATTACTGTGTTTTGTTAGACAGGGCATGTAAAAAATGTCAACAAAGGAAGCATATAACATCAGAATAAAAGGACGTTTCTCTAAATTGAATACATTTATCATTTTAAATGTTTGTATTTTTCTTTTTCTCACCATTGAAAATTGGTGAACAAGAACCAAAGCTTGGGGAACACTATAACCACCGTGGTTCTCAACTGCATGTGCCCCGAGCCCCCTGCTGTGTTAAGATGCAGATTCTGGTTTTGCATATTCACTTCTGCACCTGCCCAGCTCCCAGGCTGTGCATGCACTGTTGGTCCAAGGACCACAGCTGCATATCAGGACGCTATTCTGTACAATGCCTCCAGGCCCTAGAACTTTGAAACATTGTTCTTTGGAAAATCAGAAGTTTATGAGAATTTTTGATGGTCATTTGAACTATAAAGCATTCCAATCCTTGCCTGTCATTTGCCTTTCTCTGAAGTCTCCTAAATATTTCTAGCCACGTCAGTCCCTCAAGCTAAATATCTTGTTTTCAACTCCCTACCTACCTATTGCATGTGGATGGCCTAGAGGTAGCCTACCCCATGTCCCAAACCCAACTAATTACCCGTTGCTATTCCCCAGGTACCCATTTGCCTAAGAGATGATCTTTGCTCTGAATATTTTTTTGGAATGAGAAGAAAGCTGAAGTTTCTTTGATTTTTTTTTTTTCTCCTAAACCATCCGTTAGAGATTGCTCAGACTGATGTAATAGATTTTTTTAATTTCCCATTTCTAACAAATCCATTAGAATACACGCCAGTGGAAATAGTTTGAGGGAAAACCTGTGATTCCTCTGTGTCCTGTCTGTAACACTTGCCTTTGGACGTCACAGCTTTCTCTGCCTGTCTCATCTTGGTAATGGACTGAGTTCCACGTGTCTAAAGAAGACTTTTACTTCTCTGTAGCTGTGAATATGAATCAAAAGCTAAAATGATGTGCAGGATACTATTGTCTAAAGGCGGATCAAGCAAGGCAGATGTAAAGGATAGGGTACTACAGCACAACACATAAGTCAAACGAACACTGTCTACAAAT